AACCATTGACAAATCTAACAAAGGAAAAAGAAGATGCAAATAACATGCATAAGAAGCAATATCACAACACAACTAAGGAAATAAAAAGAATAATAACAGAATACTATCAAGAAGTATAATCTAATAGATTTGAAAATCTAGAAGAAATGAATAAATTTTTAGAACAATAAGACCTAACTAAAATAATAGAATGAAGTACAAAACTTGAAAAGACCTGTAACAAAAGAAGAAATACATCAGGTAATTTAAAAATTCCAAACAAAAAACTAGTCCACTCCTATTCAATATTTTGTTGGAAGTCTTAGCCAGAGCTATAAAGCAAGAAAGGAAATTGTTCTAAGTTGTGTGGGCATAAAAATTTGTCCTAATGACAAATAATAATTAACCCCAAGTCAGAAACTGAATTTGTATGTCAGTTCCATTAGAGCAGTACTTTTTCTTCTCTTGTATTTTCTGTATTCCTAGTACTAGAGATAACATAAGCATTCAAAGAATATTTTCTTCTTAACAGTTCAGCTTGGACAAAAAAAGATCAGGAGTCATAACAAATGCCTGAACACAATTTTTTATGATTATTATTTTGGAGTGTTGTTATCTAAATTTATATAAGTTAAAGATAGCTGACAAGTTGTCCTTTTGAAAGGTAGAAAATGTCTGATTCTAGCGCCACCTAGTGGAATCTGCAAACGGATGTGTTTTATGAATATCATCAAATATGGTGTACAAAGGAAGAGTTCTCTATCCATAAAAGATGATATTGTTGATTTGAGCAGAATAAATAATCAGATAGAAAGCAGAAAGAATAATGTCAAATAATAATAATGTGGACCAGCAATACATTTTTATTAAAATTTATTTAAATAATCAGTGCTCATTCAGTATAAATTCCTTAAATGATTTACAACTGAGCATTCACTTTCAAACTTTTTTCTTCTATTAAATGTTGAATTCATTGGGAAAGATGAAATGTGCAATTTGTACCTCCATCATCAACTAGAGCTCTTTAAATGGACAGAATGGAAAAAATAAAACTGAAAACACGTGGAAACAATTAGTGCAATGAACTAATGGGCCATGCAGATCCCAACCTCCATGACCCTGAGACCAGAAGTATATGGTGCTTGGTTATCACTACTGACCACTCTGAGAGGAATCACATTAGAAGGTCCTAGATAAATTGGGAGGAAAATGTAGACTAAGACTCAGAATTATAGAAAATGCTAGGCTTAATGGTCCAGTAGGGACTGTGGCCCCAAGTCACCTTTCAGGCTTTGAACTGAATCGAGCCCCATGTCTCAATCTTCAGCTAAAAATTGTTGTTTTTGTTAAAGCTGTTGAGTTGGTTCTGACCCATAGTGACCCTCGATAGGGTTTCCAAGGAGCAATTTGTAAGCTTGAACAGCTGAAATTGCAGTTCAAACTGATTTTGCAGTCCAGCGCATTAACCCACAATGCCTCACCAGAACTCACAGCTAATAATAGATCCATGTATGTGGTGAACTATAACACTAGAGACATATGTATTCCTTAGAATAATCAACCTTTTGAGATGAAAAGGCCAGCATTTGTCTAAGGATAAAGTTCACAAGGACAGAAGGGGTGGGAAATAAGGAGAAATTGAAATTGAAGTTAGTGGAATAAGTGGTGTTACATTGTGGGGATTGCAATCAATGACATTAAAGTATGTATGAACTGTTGAACAAAAACTGATTTGTTCTGAAAACCTTCAGCCCAAAACTAATTTGTTCTGAAAACCTTCAGCCAATTCACAATACATTAAAAAAAAAAAAAAAAAAAAAGCTGAGGCACAGAGATGCAAGCAAAAACAGGGGAAATAGTTTTCACATGAGAATTACCAAGGAACCAAGGAATGCCAGGGCTAGAGACCTGACAGAGAGAGACTTTCATCTGGTGCCCTGAATTCAGACTTCTAGTGGAATAAATCCCCATTCTTTAAAGCCCCAAAAAAAAGCAGAAAGGAAGGGAAGGAAGGAAGGCGGGAGACAGAGGAGTGTTGGGATGGAGAGAAAAAAGGAGAAGGAAAGAGAAAGGGAAAGGAAGGAAGAAAGGTAGAAAAGACTAAATCTGCAGTTGAGAAGTGTATTGGGCAAAGTAATCACAGTAATATCATCGGTGACAAGACAAATTGAAATGTTGCATTACCTGATAGTATGGCGAAAAGAACACAGCATCAGGTCCATGATATCCCTGCCAAAGATGCATAACCTATATCAATCATGAAGAGACATCAGACAAGTCCATATTGAGAGACTGTCTACACAGTAACCAGCTTGCAGTCCTCAAAGAAGGTCATGAAATTCAAAGAAGACTGAAGAACTGTTGAAGACTAAAAGACAAAAAACTAAATACCACACATGAATTTAAACTGGACATTTTTCCTGTAAATAATTCTTGGAACAGTTTATGAAACTTGAATGGGGCCTGATGATTGGATTGCCATATGTATCAATGTTAATTTCCTGATTTAAAAGAATGTCCTAATATTTATGGTTGCATTGTGATTATGTAGAATGTCCTTGTTTGTAGGAAATATATACTAACTTATTGGATAATATAAAAACAGAACAGCAGTTTACCAATAATTCAGGGAAAAAAACAAAAGGTCTTTTGTAATGTACTTCAACTTTTTTATAGCTATATGGTTGCTTCAAATTTTTTTGTTTAAAAAGAAGCAATTGTGTGTTGAAAATAGATATATAAACTATAATTTTAGAGAAAATAGAAAGTTTTTAAGATGAAATCTTCCCATTCAGAACATCTGATGTATCTCCATTTATTAGTTTTCTTTTATTTTCCCCAGGACAATGTTGTTTCTTTCATATAGATCTTGAATATTTTTATTCTTAAGCATTTTATAACATGGGAATGTGGTGGCTTCATACTATAAGCACTGGACTGTGAGCCACTTGATCAGCAGTTCAAGCCTGCCAAATGATCTGTGGGAGAAAGATGAGGCTTTCTGCTCCCTTGAAGATTTAAAGCTTCAGAAACCCTATAGTCACTATATGAATGAAGTAGTTTCCATTGCAGTTTTTTTTTTCCTCTCTCTCTCTCTCTTATTTATTTATTTATGCTGGCATATAGGAAATCGTATATGTTTATTTTGTGTATTTGGTACCTGGCTAAACTCTGACCTTCTATTATATTTAGTTCTGTCATGTTTTTAGTAGTTTGCTTGTATTTTCTTAGTACTGAGTCATATACCTGCCAAAAAAAAAGTTATTTTCATTCATTAACTCAAATATTTGTTCATTCTTTCATTCATGTTTGTTCACATTTTATTGAGCACCATGGGGAGGATGATATGTTACTAAAGTAGTGAATACATGATTTTGCCTCTTGAAATTTATATTCTATTTTCATTCTTGATGTATTATAGTTATTTTGATTGAACATTTCAGAAAGAATGTGAGATAATCTGTGAGAAAATGAATCCAACAATATTCCATTGAAAAATAAGAGCAGATGTTCCTTAGCCTCATCAGCAAGGTTTTGGCCACTATAAAGCAGTGCCTCTGTAGTACTCATTATGTAGTATACAATGTATTTGTAGGATAGCATACATTTGTAGGATACAAATAAAGGAATTGTGTTTGTTGGAGACAGGTGATGTTAATGGCATGTCATGTCTTCATTATTATATTTTTGGTTTCTGAGCTTGCAATACATTAAGAGAAGAATGTACTATGCACTTTAAGATAAGTGACTCTGTAATATTCAACTTAATGTTTTCTTTTTTTTTTTTTTTAACAACTACAAAATCTGGCAGTATCTCATTTCTTTGTGGTCATTGTTTGGGCACTGATAAGGGAAATGGAAGTATACAATTTCTTTTTAACTCAAATCCAGAAAATGGACTTGAATCATTAGTTACTAAATTTTATTAGCAATAATTTTGCTTTATTTGAGGAAACTGGAGAGAAATAAATTAAAAATGGAAATCTGTTATTAATAAAAGGGGTAGATTTTCCCCAGTTTGTTCATGATGCAAATTGATACCAATCTAAATAATAATATGGAAGGTTGCTGTTAATGACCTTCAAAGCTTTGCTTCAAAGCTAGACCTCAGTTGCTTTCTTTGAGTTCCTGGAAGAATGATCTTCCTTCAGTTAAGCCAAGAGAAGAACCTCAACTTCCCAGAGTGTTGTGATTATCCTTGGTATTAGTTAATTGATATTTAGCATCATCATTGAAATGGTAGTCACAAGCCTTCCTCTTTGGAACCTTTATATTTTTGTACCTACTATCCTTTGTTACCTATCTAAATATTGCTAGATCTCTACCAAAGAAAGCAGAAACTGGATAGCATGGATGTTTTGGTGTTGGGGAGCTGGTGGAAGCAACAGATGGACATTTCATATCCATTTTATGATAACTTCCATGCTATTTAAAATAGACACAGTTAATAGAACAAAATGAATCCTAGGGAAAAATTAAAATCCACAGCATCTTTTAGGGTATGAATATAGGATTTGAAAGGGCATATAAGTGGGAAGGACTCCTGGTGTGGCGTTGCAGGACAATTGCTTGACTACAAGGTTAGCTCAAACCACAAGGTTGGTGTTTCAAACTCATCAGCCACTTCTTGGAAAGCCTAAACAGTGTCGCTATTTGGGTTGGAACTGATTCAACAGCATTTAGCAACAACAACAATAAGTGGGAAGGGATTCCCCCTGAACAAGTATAGTTGATTCTCCCACCATTCCTCTGAGTCACTTAAAGAGCTCCTTTAGTTGGAGTAGCATGAATTTTATTAAACCTTCATAGAGCCTAAGCAGTTGTCCAAGGAATGAGATATGCTTTGATTTTTCTTCTGTCTTTGTTTCTGATTCTTTCTTTTGCTTCCTTTGCATAAATAAAGTGTGATTTTTGAAATTAGAAACAATTACACAGATCAGCTCAACATGTTAGTGATGAAGAAAAATAACCTATTACTATTTGTGTGCTTCAGTCATCCTCTCCCCATGATAGCCGACCAGAAAGTTCTGTGTTTAATCCTTATGAGTCAGACCGAGGACCATGGACAACTGAACGAGGTAAGAAAGCCACAGGGCAGCCACAGGCATGATCACTTGTAAATTTTCAGACTCAGCTAGCTATATAGAGTAATATAGTGATGATTAGCACTAAACAACTCTGTTGTCTAGTGGCTGCAGCAGAACACTGGCATTATCTATGAACGCTGATGTTCCACTGAGTGAAATGGTATGCCACTGACTCCCTTATGTTAAATGGCAGCACCGAAAATGTATATATAAAACATAAAAATCATGGCTGTTGTTTCAGATACTACTCAAAGTTCATATTTTTATGTAAGTCCTATCAACAAAAGTTTAATTATGGATAACTAGTAAGAACTGAGTAGCCTTGGTGTGGTGCCATAAGCACTTAATGCAAGGTCAGTTTGAACCTCAACATTGATATGTCAAATCCACCAGCCATTCATTAGAAGTCCTATACAGGGTCAATAACAGTCAGAACTGACTTGATGGCACTTAACTACAAGTAAGAACTGAAGGGATGTCTGAGATTCTAGAATGCTAGATACACTGAGATAATTGTACTGATTCTTAGAAGACACAAGAGGATCATCTTGTGGCAAGATAATTAACTCAGTAGTCCTCCAGAAAACTTTTTCTCAGAAATGACCTTCTTGGTAGCCCCAGTGTATTATTATATTAGTTTTGTTTATCTATAGCTATAAAAACTACCCCCATGCCTGCTGTTGTTAAGTGCTTTCAAGTTGGTTTTGACTCATAGAAACCATGTATAGGGTTTCTGAGGAGTGGCTGGTGAATTTGAACCACTGACCTTGTGGTTCAAGCTGAGCTTGCAGTCTAGTGCTTATCCGACAGCACCACACCAGAACTCTGACTAGTGGCATAAAACAATAGTAATCTCATTATCTTGTGTGAATCCTGTAGGTCATGAATTTGGGAAAGGCTCAACTAGGTGGTTTTGGCTCAGGGTCCCCTGCAGTCAGATTATTTCTGGAGCTGGAATGACAGGACAAAGGCAATGGTAGACTAAAGCAGCTGAGGCTGGTGAGACATTTCTCCATCTTCTTTTAGTATTAGAACCTCTCTGGTTTATCCATGTTGGTTACTCTGGGCTTTCTTCCAGTCTGGTAGTCTCAGCACACACAGGCTTCACGAGCAAGCTTTCCAGAAAATGAGGTAGGAGTTCATAGCCTTTTATAACCTCAACCTGGAAATCGCATATGTCATTTCTGATATAATGGCTGAAAATATTATAAAAACCACCAAGGGGAGGTGACATAGGCTTCATCTCTTAACAGGTAAAGGATCAGAGAAAATTTTCAGACTTAGGTTAAAACCAACACATACCAATGAGAGAGCTCCAGATGATGTGTCTGCCTGTGGTGTGAATGATCCCTCTTGATGACTCTTAGATGGAAGAACATTCCATACATTAGTGTAAGAACAGATGTCAGGTAGAACGGAGGATGACAGCTCCTCTACAAGTTGGAAAGTTTACACAGGTCACATATTGCTCAAGATGACCAGTGTCTTCAAAGGTGCGATATGGCCCTAGGATAGGAGGTGGAACAAACTATGGGAATTTCAAAAAGGATACATTGCAGGTCCCCAGAGAGAAGCCATGCCAATGGATACTGAAGTGTATGAAAGCCCCTATGCAGACCCCGAGGAGATAAGGCCGAAAGAGGTCTATCTGGATCGAAAGCTGCTGACCCTGGAAGACAAAGAGCTTGGCTCTGGTAACTTTGGTACTGTGAAGAAAGGTTACTACAAAATGAAAAAGTAAGTCTCTTCATACCATCTTTTCATTCCCTTTATAATAAGAGTTTACAGTTCTAGAAACTTCTAAATATACATGTATTGTTGTTAAGTGCCTTCAAGTCAGTTCTGACTCATAGCAACCCTGTATAAGGTTTCCTAGGAGTGGTTGCTGGATTTGTATCACTGATCTTACAGTTAGCAGCCCACTGTTTATCCTACAATGCCACACCAGGACTCCATAAACATACATACATATATATATATATATATATATATATATATATATGTATATATATAAATGTAACCTAGTATAGTTAAGTCATTTCCAACTTATAGACCCTATATAGGGTTTCTGAGGCTGTACATTTTTGCGGTAGCAGAAAACTTCATCTTTCTCATGCGGAGCAACTGCAGACCTCAAACTGCCAACCTTCTGGTTTGCAGTCCAGTACTTATAGTACAAAGCCACTGCACTCCCCTTAACTAAACTAATCTTAGTGTGTGAGTATATATATAATTTTTTACATGAACTAAATTTATTTTCCCTTTTCTGTATGTATATTATACATATCCTGTTCTGTTTCATAAATCTTTTTTTAATGTTTTATTGTGAATTATGTGATAATTTACATGGGAGAACATTAGTTTTACATTCATCTTATCGTATATCATTTCATGGCCTAGGTTACAATCCCCTCTATGCATCATCAACCAAACAAAGGGTATACCCTGCAAGTCTGCCCCCTGGTCATCAGCACACAGCCCCTCTTCCTCTCTGAGTCTAAAGTCCCCAGGTGCTCCCTCTCTCCATGTCATCGTCTCTGCCTCTATCTCTGGTGTCACTGCTTCTCTGGGTAGGGTCCCGCTCTCTGCTCTTCTTCCTTGATGGTCCCAGGGGCCTCCACCCTAGAATGCAAAGTTAATCACTCCCCTCCTTGCTAAAAAATGTCTACCTTTACATTTCCAACCCTCACAATCAGTCTGATAACATTTAATCACTATTATATCACAAGAGACTCATTCGTATTTCATTTCATCAGCCCCGCCCAGACAGATTGGATACTACTCAGTGGAGATTCTACCTTCCTCCTCATCCTCTGGATCTAGGTTCCCTCTTGAAAGCTTGTAAGACAGTCACTTTTTGATTTTGTAACACCCCCCCCTTTGGGTAGCCAATGTCCAAGTTGTCTATCCCTGTCTTCCCTGTGTATGGAGGGGGTGGGAATGATCCTTGCTGTAAAGATTTGTTCCTTCTTTTGAGCTACTGCATCCATAGGTGTAGGTCAAGTTCATCAAAATATATCACATTACTCTTTTTTTTCCTCTTCTTTCTTCTTCTATTTGAGGTCTCATCATCCAGTCATTGAAGCCAGGTCAAGTGGGTATTATCTGCAAGTGTGGGTGTTCTTGTGCATATGCCCTCTCTTCTTATCAACTGGATGCTTCTCTTCACTCTAGTCCTCTGTGGCTGTGTCACTGACTCTGGGCCCAAGAGTCCCCAGATCTTGCCAGACTGCTGGCCAACTAGGTTTCCACCCAGTTTCACAGGAGTCTTTTAAACATTGTAGGGCTTAGCTCACAGCTTCATTTCTGTTTTTCCCTCACTTTCCCTTATCGGTGATGAACGTGGTCACTAATCAGAGCATGCACTCACCTTGAGTCTTAGTCTTGGAAGGGAGTTTGCTCTGAGAGGACCCGGCCACTTGCCTTGATGTCTCCTGGGTGAGCAACTTGTTTGTTCTTGTAGTAATCAGTTGGTCTGCCTATATTGTTTTGTATTTTTCCAGTTGGTCTTTCTTTCAAGAAGTATCTTCTGTTCTAGCGCTCCAGGATGGTCTGACCGTCCTTTCAAATGGAAATTTCCCACTTCTGAAGATTCTGGATGCTGTTCAGGGTTCCACCTGTAGTCTTATATAATGCAGAGGCTCTGCAAGAAGCCTTCTTTACTGGACATGTTGTAGCCCCATTTTAGGTATTTCAATCAGTTATAGGCAGAAGACAGACTTATAAGCTTTCTATAGAGATATTTCTGGCCAGTCCTTTCTATCCCCCTCCAGTGTCTATTGTATAATGGTATGCAAGGGAAACCAAGATTCAAAAGACAGCCAAGCATCTTAACATTATCCATCCCCCTTTCCCCATTCCAACCATGTCTCAATCCCTGTATCCCAGAGCCCTGTTGTTCCAAGGTTGTGCATACATCATTCTTTACCTCTGTCCCACTTAACCCATGCAAACCTGCCTAATTGTTCTCCCATCCGCTTTGTTCTTCCATTCCTTTCCCCCTTCTTGTATATTGCTCCCCTCCCCAGCATCCTAACTATCCTATGTCTATTCCCTGTCCTGTGTTCCACCTTGCGCAGCCTCCCCTCACCCCACCCCCCACATCCCAGCAACCAGCAAAGAATCCTCCACCCCTTTAGTATGGGTTATTTTTCTTAGTGTTTTATAGTAGGGGTCCTATGCAGTGTTTCTCCTTTTGTGACTGACTAATTTCACTCAACATAATGCCCTCTAGGTTCATCCATACTATGTGGTGGCTTGCAGCTTCCTTATTATTCTTCAAGCTATCATAATATTCCATTGTGTGTATGTACCAGAGCTTGTTTATCCATTCTTCAGTTGATGGGCACTTAGGCTGTCTCCATCTTTTTGCTATTGTAAATAGTGCTGCTATGAACATTGGTGTGCACATCTATCTACTTATCTTATGGCTCGTATTTCTTGTGGATAAATACCAAGTAGAGGAATTTCTGGATCATAAGGTATTTCTATTTCCAACCTTCTAAGAAAGCACTATATTGCTTTCCAGAGAGTTTGGACCATTTTGCAGTCCCACCAGCAATGCAGGAGTGTCCTAGACTCTCCACATGCCCACCAGCATTTATTGTCCTCTACTTTTTTGATCTTTGCTGTTATTGCTGGTGTGAAATGATATTTCATTATTGTTTTGTTTTACATTTCTCTAATGGCTAGTGATCATGAACTTTTCTTCATATGTTTGTTGGCTGTCTGGATCTCCTCCTTGGTGAAGTGACTGTTCATGTCCTGTGCCCACTTTTTAATTGGTTTGTCTGTCTTTTTCTTGTAGAGGTGTTGTAGTTTCCTATATATTTTATAAATAAGTCACTTGTCTGATGTATCATTGCAAAAGACTTTTTCCCATTCTGTGGGTTCCTTTTTTACTCTTTTGGTGAAGTCTTTTGATGCACAAAAGTTTCTAATTTTTAGTATGTCCCATTCATCTATTTTGTCTAGTTTTGTTTGTATAGTTTTCAAAATGTTTTGTAGTCTGTGAATTCCCTGAATTAGTGCTTTTTCATTGATGGCCTTCATAAGTCTAGGATTCACATTTAGGTCTTTATTCCATGTCAAGTTGGTTATTGTATAATGTGTGACATGAAGGTCTTGTTTCAATCTTTTGCATATGGCTTTCCAGTTCTGCCAGCACCATCTGTTGAAGAGACTATCACCTTCCCATGCGAAATATTTATGTGTTTTGTCAAAAATCAGTTGACTGTATGTAGATCGGTTAATTTCTGGATTTTCTATTCTGTTCCACTGAACTATGTATCTTTCATTGTATCACTACCAAGTTGTTTTGAGCACTGTAGCTGTGTAGTAAATTTTAAAATTGTGGAGTGAGAATTTTCCAACCTTATTCTTCTTCTTAAGCAGTACTTTGCTTATCCTGGGTCTCTTTCCTTTCCGTATAAAGTTTGTAATTGTTTTGTCCATCTCTTTGAAGAATGTTGTTGGAATCTGGATTGGGATTGCATTATATGTGTAAATTGCTTTGTGCAGTATTGACATTTTCACAGTGTTGTCTTCCTATCCAGGTGCATGATGCATTCTTCCATTTTTGTAGGTCTCTTTTGGTTTCTTGTACTAGTGTTTTGTAGTTTTCATTGTGTAAGTCCTTAGCTTCTCTGGTTATATTTATTCCTAGATATTTTATCTTTTGGGTGGCTATTGTATATGGTATTGCTTTCCTAATGTCCTAGTCAATGCTGTCATTTTGATATAGAGGAATCCAGCTGATTTTTGTATGTTGATCTTATATCCTGCCACTTTGCTGAATCTTCGAATGAGGTCTAGTAGCTTTTTCACTGAGTCTTTGGGATTTTGTACATATAGAATCATATTGTCTGCAAATAGAAAGAGTTCCTCTTTGCCAATTTGGATGCCTTTAATTTCCCTGTCTTGCCATATAGCTCTTGCTAAGACTTCCAGCACAATATTGAATAGCAGTGGTGACAAAGGGCATCCTTGTCTGGTTCCTGTTCACAGAGGGAAGGCTTTCAGTTTCACCCATTGAGAATAATGTAGGCTATTAGTTTTGTATGTATGGTCTTTATTATGTTGAGGAAATTCCCTTCAATTCCTTTTTTTTTTTTTTTTTTTGAGTGTTTTTATCAGGAATGAGTGTTGGATTTTGTCAAATGCCTTTTCTGCATCAATCAATATGATCATGTGGTTCTTTTATTTTTTTTTTGTATTTATATGGAAGATAATGTTGATTGTTTTTCTAATGTTGAACCATCCTTGCATTCCTGTTATGAATCCCACTCGATCAGGATATATTATCTTTTTGATATGTTGCTGGATTCTGTTGGCTTGGGTTTTGTTGAGAATTTTTGCATCTGTGTTCATGAGGGAATTGGTCTATAATTTTCTTTCTTAATGACTTCCTTCCCTGATTTTGGTATGAGGGTTATGCTTGCTTCATAAAATGTATTAGGAAGTTTTCCATCCTCCTCTATCTTCTGGTATAATTTGAGTAGAATTGGTGACAGCTCGTCCATAAATGTTTCGTAGAACTCACCCGTGAAGCCATCTAGACCTGGATTTTTTTTATTGGAAGTCTTTTGATGACCTGATCAATTTCTTCTTTTGTTATGGGTCTGTTTAGGTTTTCTATTCGCTGTGTATAAGTTTAGGTAGGTCATGTTTATCTAAAAATGTATCCATCTCTTCTAAGTTTTCAAATTTGTTTGAGTACAACTCTTCATAGTATTCTG